CTCTGTGTGGGCCAGGTGTCGGCTGGGGTCCCCACCCATCCCCCGTCTCGTCCCCTGGCGGTGGCGACAACCCTAGGAGAGGGCCAAGGTCGGGGAGATGGGGTGGGAGGAGGCGAGTCCTCAGCCTGAGCTCCTTCAAAAAGAGGTAGGACCGGGCTGACCTAGGCGGCCAGAACTGCTCCCCTGGCGGGGGGTGCAGTTTGCAATTGCAGGAATGGCACCCCCTCAGTATCACCCCCTCAGAAGGTGCTGGGTGCAGCTAATGCTGGAAACCCCTCCCTGGGGTGGTCTTCCCGGGTGGAAGGAGGGGTGCCATGCTGGCACCAGCCAAGGTGAGAGCTAGGTGGTCCCCTCCACCAGATGCTGGGGACCAAACCGTGCTGTCCCTCAGCCTTGTGGGCCTAGGGGCTTGGGGTGCCAGCCATTCCGTCCCCTGGGGGTGAGCATCTGGAGCAGGGCTGCACTAGAACTTTCTGAGATGCTGGAAATATTTTTCATCTGTGCTTTCGAATAAGATAGCCACTGTGTCCACGTGGCTGTTGAGCACGGGAACAGTGGCTAGTGCAACTGAGGACCTGAATTTTTAAATTTGATTTTAATTAATTTAAATAGCCACACGGCGCTAATGGCTACCTCACTGGTGCAAATGTAGAGAGTGGGCACAGAGAGCCAACTGGTGATTCGAGTAGCTGTTTCATTAACAGGAGCCAAAGGACAGGGCTCCCTGGAGAGCATGCGTGGATCCTGAGACAAGGGAATCTTCTACCCGAGGCAGCTACGTTTAGGGAGCAGGACACTGCTCTGCGGTTAGTCTGCAGAGCTGGGCGTGGTCCTGCCAAGTTCCCTGGCATTGCCGGGGTGGAAGGCACAGGGGCAGCCAGGCCCCCGCCTGCCCTGGGGAGCTCAGCCTTGCCCTTCCTCAGTGAGGCAGGAGGGAGAGGAACGACTGAGAGTGCTGCCTGGGATGGGCCGGGAGATGCTGCTCTCGGGGAATGTGAGCTGAGGATGAGAAGGCCCCGAAGGGCAGGCAGCGGTGGACACCGGCGGTGGGCAGCCAGCATTCCTCCAAAGCCCAGCGATCCAGCACAAGCCACCGAGCCTAGCGGTGGTGGGCTCCTTCCTTATGGCCTCCCCACCACCTGCCGGGTTCCCACAGTCAAGTCTGCATCGTCCTTGCTCCCTAAGTCCCACATCCGGTCCTTGGGGGGCTCCTCCTGTTGCCGGGTGCATGAAGGCCACAGCTCAGTGGAAGGGTCTGCGGCACCAGCCTCAAACCCCAGGGTGAAGCCCAGAGACACCTACTAACGGCAAATCACCAGCCAGATTGCTTCAATTTGGGGTCATCATGCCGGCCCGCAGGTTGCCGTGCAGATGAAATGAGTGAGGATTCCCAGTGTCCTGGGCCCTATTAGGTGCTCTCTCCCTTAGGGACACCTGAGTAGCCGTCTCCGACCTGCTCAGCAGTGGGTGAGCTCAGCTGGGCTGGGCCTGCGGGCCGAGCACTCTCCTGCCCCCTCCTCCACTGTCCGGGGGAGGGTGTGGGCCAGGCTCACTGCTCTGCGGCCCCTGGTTCTGGTTCTGGCTGGGGCCCGATCCACCACAGGGTCCCCCAGCCGTTCTCGGGCTGTTCTAGTGCCGGCAGGGGGCAGCTTCAACAGTGAGTAGAGGATAAGAAGGGACGAAGCAGAGAGTGACTCTGCCACCACGCCCCCCCGTCCCCCAACCCGGTGCGGGGAGGCTTCCTGAGGCCATGGGTTCCCAGCCCCCTGGACTCCCACCCACACACCTCCTCTCTCATACCCCTCACACCTGTTCCCTGTGGGCAGCCGGTCCCCCTGGGAAAGGGGGGCTCCTTGCCCTGGTGGGAGTTGCAGGAGGAGTGGGCGGGGTGCTGAGAGCAGCAGGAGGCAGGTGAGGACAGGCCAGGTGAGGGCGGACTGGACCAGCTCACTCTGGCTTCCCAAGTCAGCCCAGCTTGTGGTTTGGGTAATTACAGGGAAACAAAATGCGCCCGTGCGCTCCTGGCTGAATGTGCTTTCTTCCCTCAGAGACAGTGTGGCGTAGTGGACAGGCACAGCCCGGATCTGGCAGGCTGGGTCCCCCAGTCCCGCCGGCTGGTGGCCCTGGGCCAGTGGATGCCTGCCTCACAGGTGCCGGGAGGGTGAGGCCAGGGGATGCTTGCAAGGCTGGGTGTTTAGAAAGCCCCATGTTCAGGCCAGTCCTCCCCCCACCCCATCCTCGCCCCCACAGGGTGGCTGGTGGCAGAGGTGTCCCTGTTGCCTTGTCCGCACAGTAAGCCCAGCCCTGCCCCGGGGAAGGTGGGTTGGAGAGGCTTAGAGGCTGTGCTTCAGGAGCGAGACTGACATGCAGACAGGCCTTGGGCAGTGGGTAATTAGTAACCAGACCACGGCCAGCAGGATGAGAAAGCGCAGTCCCTGTGGTCGCAGCTTAGAATGTGTTGCTGAGGCTGTGCATGTGTGAGTGTGTGTGTGTGTGTGTGTGTGTGTGTGCTGGTCGGCCCTGGAAAGTCACCTTCCACCCTCAACACTCAATGTCTTCCCCTTTAAGATAGAAACTTGATCAAGTGAATTCCAGCTTAAATTTCATTGAGAGAACACCTGGCTATTCTGGTTCACTGGTTTTCAGGAGCCTGGCCATTCCGCCCCAGCCAGAACTGAAGGATAAAGAGTTTGAAGCGTGAAAGCTAAGACCTTTGGTCTGGCCTGCCCTTCCTTCTTGGTTTCGTGTGTGGTTCAGCACATTCGTGTGGTTTGTTGTGACTCAGGGTGCTGGTTCTATTGTAAAGCCAGGATCACTCGGCGTGGGCACCAGGGGTGTTAGAGCTGAGCTGTGGGTGAACTGCGGGCGCATGAACTTGCCTGAGACCCTGTGCCGTTGCTGGGGGCTCGCAGCAGAAGGGGGGGGGGCTTGCTTTCCCACATTAGGCCTTGAGTTCTTTCTCTGGAAATTGGGAGTGATTCCCCCCTAGAGATTCGTAGGTGGTGATGCCCTAAAATAAAGTCTCTTCCAGCAAATAGGACATAACCTCTGCCTCCTAGCAAGCAGTGGTCAGCCCAACCCCTGCCCAGCTCCTTAGGGCTCATCTGTGTCTCACGTGAGGTAGGTGGGACGGAGACCTGGGGCAAAGCTGACGTGCTGTTGCGTCCACTTGTTTATGTGCGGCTCCTCTCTGCCTCCTTATCCATGCACTGGGGGAATACTACCCCCCCAGCTGGCTGTGCGATGAAATCAGGGTTCCCTGAGTGCCTGGGTCCTACCAGGTACTTTCTCCCTTAGAAACACCGAGTAGCCTTCGACCTCCTCGCAGTGGGTGCCCAGATGTCAGGTTGCTCTGAGGATTAAACGAGAGAACATGTGTGTCGCATGTGGACTTCCGAGTGCAGCTGCAGGTGTCAGATCTTTCTGGTGGGAACTGTATCTATGAGGATATATTCTTTTTATTTTTTTTATTTTTATTTATTTATTTTTTTAATTAAATCTTTATTCTTTTAGTTGTATTTTTGAAGTGGTTGTTTGCGGCAGCAGTCTCCGGTGTTTACCTATGCCGCCATCTTGGTCTCTCTCCACATCGGTTTCTCGAGGATATATTCTTGTTACCGAGTCGCAAATAGTCCTTCAACAAGAGAGAGGCAATCCCTCTCCCACTTAAATACCCAGAGGTCGGAAGTCCAGGTTTGTTTGGTCTCACAAACCTGGGGTGACTGGAGCCCCCGGAGCCAGACCTGCGGAGGATCCTTCTATCTTTGCTGCACTGTTTGAAGCCTCTATTCCTGAGTTACCTCCTAGTGTGAAAGGCTGCTCCGACTCCAGCCATCCCACCTGCTTGCCAGGCAACAGGGAGGAGTACAGGAGAAAGAAGGACAAACGCACGTGCAAGCTGTCTCTTGAGATTACTGGGGGCTGCTGCCCAACACTTACATCTCATTGATGAGAATTACTGATATAGCCACGTTAGCTGCAGGAAGTCTGGGAAATGGATGGGGGTGGAGGGAGCAGCCTGGTGTCCAGCTACGAGTCAAGGATTCTCTTACCATGGGAGAAGGGGGAGGTAGACGCTGGGGAACTCCTGGGAGTCTGCCCAGAGTGGCCGGAAGGAACCACAACCTCCCCCTCAACCCCTCCTAGGAGTAGATTAACTTATTTCAATAGGCCAGAACCACAGACCCTTCCCGAGGGAGGCCACCACACGGGGCAGAAGCAAGTGCAACAGGCGCAGTGTGGCTGTTCCACGCTGGGTGCTGGGGAAGCATGTCCCTGCCTGCGGGCGACACCTGCACAGGCCGCCTGTCTTCCTGCCCTTTGATGTCTCCCCCCTGGGAAAGTCTGCTCTGCTGGCCCAGGGGCTCCCCGCAAGGCAGTTTGCAGACACCTCGACTGTCAAATCGGACTCTGCACAGGCCAGTGGAGAGCATCGTCAGGGAGCATGGTGCCTGGCACGGAGCAGGAGCAGCCGTGGTGGCTGCTGGGACAGATGGAAGACCTGCTCCGGCTCCTTCTGGTGAAAGCTGGCTGGCGGTAGACTGTGCCGGGATGCCAGGCGGTGCTGCTGGGTCCTAAGAGCGGCTCCAGGAGGAAGAGCGCCCCTGACGCCCACGGGGGGTGGGGGTGGGGGAGTGTTGTTTGTAGGCAGGGCTGGCGTGAGCCTCTGGGTGCCCTGGTGGGGACCCTGAGTGCTGACTCAGGTTCCTGAGCGTGTCTTCTCCTCCAGGCTCCCAAGGTGAGGCGGCAGAGTGACACCTGGGGCCCCTGGGGTGACTGGAGCCCCTGCAGCCGGACCTGCGGAGGGGGCATCAGCTTCAGGGAGCGCTTCTGCTACTCGCAGAGGTAGGGGAGGCTGGCACGGGCAGCCTGTTAAAGCAGGACAGGGGGCAGGGATCATCTGGGTCCTGGGTCACCTGGGCAGAACCCCCCATGCAGTAGCTTTGTCCTGGGTGCAATATGGATGGAGTACTTGAAATCAATCATTTCCGGGTACTTCCACTTGACTTCCATTATCAGCTGTATTTCGGGGGGTTGGAGCCAAGCTGCTTCATCCACCCCCGAGTCTCTTGCTCCCAATGCAGTGAGAGCTCATGGCAGGTGCAGTAAATTCCCATCAAATTAATCTTCAACCATGCTAACCTGTGCAGTGTCTCTACCTTCAGCCTTTGTCAAGTATAGATCTTTCCCTTCACGTGACTTAAGACCTACTATGTGTCCTGTGCCCTGATAGGTGCTATAGAGGGTGGGCACAAAAGAAGGGGCGATGACACCTTGCCCGTCAGTGGGTTTAAGTCACTCTGAGAACCTGTGTGAAGACCAGAGTGAGATGCTATTCCAGGTGCCTGGTTCTCCTTACGTGGCAGAATCACCTAACCAGGTGGGGGCATTTACACCCCGTTTCACCTCCAAGAGCAGAACTCAGGGCTTCTCTGGAAATTTACCTTCAGAGGCAGAGTGGCCCCCAGTTAGTCAAACTCCAGGATGGCTGGGCTCTGAGTCTCCTCCCAAATACAAACGAGGGGCTCAGAGCACCTACTGAGGGGTTTATGTGTGTGGGGGGCCCCCCCCCCCCCATGGACTTGCCCTCTCTGGCCCGCAGAGGAGTCCCACAGAGGCTGGGGCTGCGGGAGAGCCCAGGAGGACTGGGGTGCTGGGTTACTGGTGCTCTTGTCCCACAGGAGAGATGGGGGCTCCAGCTGCGTGGGCCCCGCTCGCAGACACCGCTTGTGCCACATCGAGGTAAAGCCCACGCGGGAGGGGGGCAGCTTCCTAGACCCCCCACCCGGGGACATCCCGGCCCAGGGGGCCTCCTGTCCGTGCACCGCGGGTGGGAAGCCCCTTCCTTACACCCAATGACAGAAAGGACAGCTTCCGCAGCTCTCCCCGCAGCAGCCCCAACCACACCCCCTTTCCTCCCCCCCTACCCCGCGCCCCTGGAGGGGAGCCCTGGGGCCACTCCGCCTCCCCAAAGCAACAGCAGGCGTTGGGGGGACAGGACCCGACCTCCCGGGGACCAATGGGTCCCCCACTTTCCCCTCTCTGGCCCCATTGCCCCCGCAGAGCTGCCCCCCAGGTGCCCGCGACTTCCGGGCAGAGCAGTGCGGGGAGTTCGACAGCCGCGAGTTCCAGGGCCGGCAGTACCAGTGGCTGCCCTACTACGGGGGTGAGTTGGCGATGTTTCTCGTGGCTTCTCACCGCAGTGTAGCCCGTTGTCAGCCCCATTGGAAATCCCGGAGCAGCCGGCCCCGCCCACCTGCCC